ATTAACGAGCCCGCTGTTGGTTTCAAAGGCGGACGCTTCGAGGCTAGCTCGCCAATCCGTTGGTTGGCCCGTCGTCGACCGTTGGTTGGATTAAGTATAAATCAGTGCAGTGCTTCAATGAAGCAGCGAACTAACTGCACCCGTGCGAAGAAGGGCGGTGGGGAGGAGATCTCTCGAGATTCGATTTCGATCCGGAGGCTTCAAAAAGGCATCCACTCTTCTGATTCACGATGAGACCCGCTTTTTCTTCTGTTCCTCACCACAGATCTTTCCCTCTCAATTAGCTAGTCTTCTCCAGTACGGCCAGGCGGAGATGCCCCAGCGGCCTTGCTGCGAGCAATGCAGGCGATGCTGGTCAATTGCAATCGAAGGGGCCCTGCCCTGTCGTCTCACCTCGCCCGATTTTTATATTGCATACTAATCGACGTACGAAGACTGTATTATTGCGTCGTCGCCTGTACATTTTGTGCAGATGCGAGTACTCGATACCTGAACGTGCATCTGACGACTGCTATTTCTAGACGGGCAATCCTGGCCGCATGCACATCATCCCTTCAACTGCACCAGTCTCTTGCATCTGGGTGAGTAGGGATATCTATACGTTGAATCGAATCCACATCAGTTTGTTCAGTGTGTATACAGGCAAGTATCCCAGCTGAGATGTATGCACATTCACAGAAGAATTATATATGCACTGTGCAAACACACGTACGTACACACATATGCTACATGGGCAGTTCAAAGACAGGCATCTTACAAATATTCATTCGTTCAGTCAATCATTCACTCACTCACTCGTTCGTTCATGCGCATGCATCTACGTGATAGCAATGCACATGTACGAAGCAGCAACGCCGAGCATTGATCATCTGACCGACTGCCACGGTCAATTGATCCACGTCCATGCATACATGCACATACATACAGAGGTAGGGGACAGCATGGACACATCTCCCATGTCGAGCAACAGCTAAATCGATCAACGTCCAACGTTCTTCAATGCATTCTTCTCATCCATCCGGTTAGATTCGTGAAGTCATGAATAAACTAGATGAACGGCTACCTAGCACGTCGAAAAGAAAAATAAAAGAAAGCAAGGAAGGATGGAAGCTTAAGGCGGATCGAGAGGGAACAAGCGGAGCCCCGGTGGAGCTGACTCTTCCCGTACTGACACCATCAAGTCCAGCCAGTAGCAGTCCAGCGGACAATTGCCAGGGCCTCCTGCACGATGCCAGCAGCAACATGGGGCCCGGCAGGGCAAGGGAAGGGGACATGAGGACAGGACAGGCATGAATCGGACTCGAATCGAAGAGCAAATTGTCTCTCCCTCGAAACATTCAACGGGCTTTGAAGCCAACCTCAGCTAATTTCAATAAGGCTACTCCGAGATTTCCGTCTATACGACGCACGGAAAAAACGGTCGATACCCTCACACACACCTCTGGGGATTCACCGCCCAAGATTTCTGAGACCATACAATTATCCGCTGATGACGACGACAGGATGCAATTGCAATCCGCCCTGTTGGAATCGATTCGATCAGATTCTCCCCAGCCGCCTCCGCAGGAGCAAACGTTAAACAAGCAAACATCAGTGCGCCGTCGTCCAAGCCCAGCTCGGCTTGGAAGCGTCCAACCGACTGCTGGATGCATAGCAGCATGCTTCCAACAAGTGCAAGTCCCTCCCCTCCAGCCATGGCGAGCGTTCGTGGATGGCGCGGATTGCCAATCGCTCGCTCGTCCATTGGAGCGACATGCGGATGGAGGGTGCAGAAAAATACGAAATGACTTTTCCGTAGCCGCCCTGTCCGGGGAGCGCTCTTGCTGCAGCCCCGCGACAAGAAAGTCTGTCGAGAGTCTTGTTCTCGTCCGAAAAGGACTGTCATGTGTGCTGGTGGGGCCCGCTGGTCCCCTTGCCAGCTTCCGAGTGGTCAGAGCGCTGAGGCGTGTGGACTGAATTAAACCACCCTGTTCCTCCCCCACCTGGACAGTTTGTTAGAGGAGATGCTCAGCGGCCCAGTTTATCTCTCACCGACAGACGCGGAGCGATGCCGTGAGAGTAACAGATTCTCTTCCAAGAGGGACGTCGGCGTTGCCTGGGGTGGCTGACGGTGAATCCCCAAGCCCGTCCAAGCTGGTAGCTGTAGGAATTTGATTCATCGCGATTGTTTTCCGGATACATTGGCGATACGAGACCGCCTGCTGCCCAGCATGGGACTCTGAAGTTTTCCGTGCAGGAGAAATGTTTGCGCCTGGGGAGAAAGAGGAGGATCCAGCCAGCCAGCCTCGTCAACCGGGCGATCGCAAGTGGAGTCGGGTTGAAATTGAGGGAAGGAGCTGACGGGTTTTTCTTTGCCCAGATGCATGCCGTTTATTGCAGCCCACCCGCAGAGGTCGGAATAAGGCGACCCCGGCCGATATCGATTAAAGCGGACACAGCAACTGCCATCCCTCCTCCTTTCTCGAGCTGGCGCTTCCAATGCCAGCAGGTCACAATTCTACTACCAAGTACCCACCTGGTAATTCACCTGCGACTACGTGTAAGGAGGAGGTAGCATCCTTCGAGCTGTCGATCCCGCTGACTATGCCGTATACGCTCGCGGTCTCTCGCCCACGGCTCTCAATGGCAGAGGCGCTAAGCCGGGTGCCTAATTGACATTTTTCGAACTCGCGGACATCTGTAACAAGTATCAGCGACCCGTCCGTCTAATATGACACTTCCGCTGCTAACACTTATATATGCTGCTAATAAAACCCTCGTCCGTTATTTCACAGTCACTCCACCCGCCGCGCCAGAGTCTGAGAGCAGAGCTCACCTCGAGAAAAATAATCTCACGATTACGAATCGAGAAAGGGTTAACCACATCTTCTTCTTGGCTTGTCAGGTCATAATAAAAGTTACCCGCCGAAAAATAAAAAACCGTTGTGGACTTTCCTGCCTGTGCGTCTCGGGCAGGAGAAGCAAGCCCGAAGTAGGGAAAATTATACCGCCCGCGGACCGGAACGACGTCGCGCCTCATTTGCTCGGTTTTCCAAACATGCGGTGTGATCACAACGTTGACGCTTGCAACGGGCGCAGCCGAGTGCTTGTCCCACTCGAGCGAGCCTCCGTCTCAGCACGACACTCTCCGCATTCCTCGCTTCTTCTGTCAATCGAATCAATTAATAACGCAGTCACCGTGCAGCGCCACCCAGCTCGTCGTGTTTGCCTGTGGAGGTGCTGACGCTGCGTGCGCGTTCACGTCGACCTGCCGGCATACCTAGTATTAGTATATCGAACATCAAAGGCGACAAGCCTTGGGGATCGTACTTGGTACATCTACATCACATACCGAGGTATATACATGCACGCCGCTTACATAACGCATTGACATTGTGCATATTCTGCACGAGAGTCCTCTCTAGCCGAACGATTGATCACAATGAAAATTGCGAAACCGATCGATAGCATGCAATTGATACGGTCACCGTATTCCCTTCGTCTCGCCCTGTTCTCTCGTGACAAGGACTCCCCAGGCAGCAGCCACTCAAAGCAACCTTCACACCGTCTCCCGTCCGGTTTCAAGCGTCCTTGCGAAGATCTTTCCTAATATTCCCCTCATTCTCCGGGATCGTGAAAAAAACTATACTTGAAGACAGCCCAGGGTCCGAGTGCTGTGCATATCACGTCCATCATACTTAATATACTAAGTGTACGGAGTACTCAGCGTATAGACAAGCAGTCTATAGATGTCCGCGTGTGCAGTACCTCTACATCGAAGCCCAGCTCGCCCGCGTACCGATGTGACGAAAATACCATGCATGTGCAGAATTTAGTCTCTTCCGGATGCACATATGTGACAACTTTGCATAAACGCAATCACGCAGGCGTGGCAAATCACCACGTCGAGAAGAACAACTACACGACGCTTGACGACGTCTTTGCAAAACTTTCACGAATCATCTCTCTCGTAAACTGTATTTCCTCGCCTGTGCCGTATGTCCATCATGTACGCACGTACACGCATAGCTGCATACGAGCTTCAGCTGTCCATTGAAAATTTTGTGCATACGCTGCGTGCATATATGCACCGTGACCCCGAGAACTCGTCCTGATACGCATACGCATGCACGACAACAAGCTTTTTTCTTTCCTCAACTTCCCTGAAGCAGTTGTCTACCTGGATCCAGGTAAGATGTGGTAGGGATATACGCCTTTGCCGCATCGGCAAGCTAGAGCCTAACGTTATGACGAGCCTGCAGCCCGTTGCGTAACAGATGTCCTGGTGCGCCGGTTTTCACTTCAAATTGTGGTCTGATATCAATCTCAGCTCGCTCGCTGGCGGAATAGACTACCTGCATCCGTGCATAATTCGCGAGATCGAAAATGTGGATGAACAAGATTTTTAAAGACCCTAATCCGCATACGTCTAGAGGACGTGCATCCTCACGAAATTTAAACTCAGCCTGGTCAGCTGGTAGATACTTGCTTAATTTACGCAGGTGCCCAGCATTGACCCAGCGGCGGTCTTATTATATACTTTCATACTTAGATAGCTGGGCAATATAGGCAGCAAAATATCGATATTCAGATACCAAGTAAGTAGTATTATAGCCCAATATTGAATGCCATTGTGTCAAAACACCACACTCCGCACATTATGCACTGCAAAGCACACCTTAGATAGGCAAAGTTTCATATGCACGGTGATAGATTGCATCACAGCACCTGTCATCCCCCTCCAAGCAGCACTACGGCAACTGCCATTTCATTCCATTCACACAACTGGAATATTCCGCATGTTGTTCTCCCAAGCCCCCTGCCTATCAGCTAACCACAGCTCCTGAAACTTTCGCCCGACTTAGTAATAGGTAATAATGAGCTCAACTCGAAAGAGGCAGTTTGTCACACCAAAAAAGAACCCGCTCATCTCTAGCGACGGCCCGTGTAACTGTTTGACAAGAACCCAAACGACTGCAAAGCAAAAAATGAACGCCGAAAAGGCAAAAAGATTGAATGCTTGCCGGCACTCAGAATCGAACTGAGGTTACATCGGATTTGCTTATATCTTGCGATACCACAACGATGTGTACTGACCACTATACTATGCCGGCTGCTTTGGATGGAAGCTCCGTTGCAAAATGTGTTCATGAAGCTCCGTTGCAAAAAGACTCGCAACAACTGCATGGCAACACGTGCGCTCCGGCGGGTCAACGGCAGGGCGGAAACGGAAATTCCAACAACAGCAACGCAATGTGCGCACATTCGAAAAATCACAAATCAAAAAAAATAAATCAGTGGTAGACTACTGCACAAAAAATAAGAAACCCGCATCGACGAATTTGGCGCATACATATCAGCGTTATTAAAGACGCGGCTAATATGTGCACCGTGCAGCTGTGTAAATCATGAAGCTAGCTGTATATCAAGAAATGCAGCGATATCACAGTATATAAGTGTTCTCTATATGTATTGGATCGATGAAGCGATATTGCGACAACTTCATAATATTACTGAGCCCGAAGGCTAGGGATGGTTGTTACGGTAATGTGACTGCGTTTTTAGTTGAACAATATATTGAAGACGATAATACGGTATTGGTATGGGATCCGGTTCCATTATTTTGGTGAAGTGACTGTTTTTAAAAACACCGCCTTGACGACACGGGACTTGTAGAAGTGTGGGCCTCGTTGACGATGTCTGCATAGCATCAAAACATCAGGGCTTCTCTGTGTGTGTGTGTAACGGCTTCCCATCATGGGATAAAAATCACTTCAGTGTGTGGCTTCTATCAGCGCTCCTGTCGACGTCTTCTCTCAAGAAATAGCCACATCCCTAAAACCTCATCACCGCTCCATCTACCGCTCCATCCACCGCTCCATCCACCGCTCCATCCACCGCTCCATCTACCGCTTCATCCACCGCTCCATCAAGATCACAAGCCCTTGCCCTCGCGGTATAAATTCTGTCAAGATGAACTCCATTGTCCCCATCCGAGTCATCTCCTGGTCATCATCCTCATCACTACCAGCACAGCCACCACCACCACCACCACCACCACCATCACGTCGAACCCGCCCATCGCAAAGACGAACCTTCGCGATGTCTGTCATTCAAAGTGAAAACGAGATCTTTCCCTTCCGTGCCCCCGAGGATGCCCTCCCAGCGCTCCCGGCGGTCGACAATCTGAACGATATGCGCGGCTATGTGGCCACCTATGCCACCTCTGGCCGAACCGCTTTCCAGATCTGGAAAGCGATGGGGAGCAATGTCATCAAGCTCCAGATCCAGGCCTTTGAGCAGTACACTGCTCGAGACCCGAGACGCAGGCCGTGGAAGGTATGTAATCATTCACTCCTGATATCAAGTTCTCCCATTGAATCCATTCATTTTTCTCAATTTGAGTTCCCCATTCCGCGTCCCTCATTTGAAACGATGATGCGAGATACATGCATACCTTGGTGACCGGACTAGCTGACGATATGAAATCTGTCTGCAGATGATCGCCGAGACGATGCTGTCGGAGCAGCAGCTCGTGTTGATCGCGAACCACTACGGCCTCCGCGACCTGCTCCTCCCACCCGTCGCCGAGCGCGCGGCCTTCATGAACGAGGACCGCTTCACGGCCGACCTGGTGCTCCTCTACATCACGGGGTACACGGTCACGGTTGGCATCGACGGGCCCGCCACCTGGATCCGCGACATGCTGGCCCCGCACATCGAGGGCATCTGCGTGCTCCACCAGCGCAAGATCCTGGAGCAGGGTCTGCAGGGGGTTGCCCTCCTCCAGAACCCGAACGTGCGGTATACCGCGAGGCCCGTCGCTGAGGTTGGGGGCGATGCTGCTCAGCAGCCACAGGCCCCGGCTCAGCCGGAGGAGGAGGAAGAAGAAGACGAAGACGAAGGAGAGGACGGCGGGGAGCCGGTAAGTTCTTACATCACCTTCCATGCATCTATCATATATCACAAAGCTAACAGTTTTCGATACCAGGTGTACGAGCTGCCCCCGGAGGCGAGGGCCGAGGGCACCACTCAGGAGGAGTGGCAGGCCCGCATGGAGGAGGCGGTCGCCACGCTGTTCGAGGTCGGCTTCAAGATCCACGAGGCCGAGATCGACATCGAGGGGACCAAGTACTACCACGTGGTCCTCCTCGTCGGCACCATGGAGCCAGTCTCCATGGTGCGCGGCAGCCGCAACGCCGCGTACGAGGCTGCCTTGACGGCTACGGCCGAGAAGATCGCAGTCTGGTTTTGAGTGCGCTTTGAGTGCGATGTTGTTTCCGTGCCGATTTCTGTTGCTTTGCCGATTCTGTTGTTGCCTGCCTGTGCATTTTTACTATCGCACGATTATGTTTTTATGAAGTCACGAATCGAAGAATGACGAGGACCGTTTTTAATGAAGAATGCAAATGCTAAACAGTAAATTGATACTGATACGAATGATATATCCACGCCCGCTAAGTAATTCAGTGCCTGCAATCAACCAGCCAACAGAACGCCATGCGCTACCGATCTAATGTCCACCCTGATACGATTTATAATCGTTTCCGCCATCCACCTAATTCCTCAGCTCCTCCTCCGTCGGCCCGAATGCCAGCTCCTTGCCGTACAACAGCCAGCCTAGGAACCCAATTACCCCACGCACGACCGCCGGCATGGGCGGAAACACCTCCTTCTCCTTCTTGCTGAAATGTCGCAGCTGGTACGCCGCAGACCACACAAATCCTATCCTCTTCATCATCTTCGACACCGCATCCTGAATCTTCTCCTCGAAGTCATGGTAAACCGACAGCGGCGCGCGGCGGCCGTAAAGGCAGGCCAGCGTCTCCTCTTTCTGCAAATGCGGGAGCAGCAGCTCGACCAGCCGCTCTGTCGTCGTGGAAATTTCCTCGCCGGGCCAAGCGGGAGCGGAAGCATCGTTCCGGGCGTTCACGTGTGCCTGTGCGGTTTTCAGAAGCTCGAGCCCGTGGGTCATGAGGCGTTCGATCTCCTCGTGCTCGTGGCTGGACTCGGAAAAGTCGACGTAGGGCTGCATTAAGGGGAACCAAAGATGCTCTTCGTGGCCGTGGTGGTCGTGAAGCAGCTCGAGCGCCGCTTTGGCGTAGGTTACGAAGGCGGCGCGCTTGCCGGGCTCGACGGTGCGGGCCTGTCGAGCGACGCAGCGCAGACTGCGGCGGAGAAGCGCATGGATCATGAAGAGTCCGATCGTGCTGGCCACTGCAATAGATTGTATGCGTTAGAATTATGCACATTTTAAGGCGATACTTTGGGATATATTATGAGGCGTGGTAGCAACTCACCCACGGGATCTTTCATGTCAACTGTCGACGCGGAGATGTTCCATTTGTCAATCTTGATGGGCTCAACCGGCTCAGGGAACTTCTCGGCGTTAAGATCCGTATATTGGACTGTCTCCGTCTGTGTAGCCATTGCTGCGGTGGGGAATGTAGTCTCGATTCGGTTGACCGTCGAAGATAACCTGAGGACAGTGGCTGGTGGCCGATGATATATTTTTATATGTGTAGGTAAGAAGATACACTGTGATATCTGAAGGAACTTTGAAGTGCCGTTAATTTAATGCTGACGTACGAGGGGAACAAGTGCCGTCTTATATCTTCTGATAAGTGCGCGCCAATGTGATTCAATTGACCAGACCCCAGCTCGGAGCCTCCTCATCCACATATCAACAGGATCGTGTCAGCTTTTAGCCTCATCCTTGACAACCACGCATTGTCTTGTCTGCCAGGGCGGGTATAGAACATGCTGATGGAGTGTCGCATCGTGGCGCCACTTGCAGTCCGCCAACTAGCGCATGCAGAGTATCTGGAATATATTGCAGATAACGGTACATGCATATAAACTCGTACGCGCAGCGAATCGTACGACTTCGGCGACTCAACCAAAGTACCACATCCGTGAAAGCATGATGCGGGGGCTGTGCGGCAACGGTTTCAGTGCAGTTCCATGCAGCCCTATGCTATCACGGCTGTGATTTGTGGTGGGAGCGGCGTTGGTGGTGTTTTCTCGTCTATTCCTCAATGGTGAAGGGATGTTGCATCCGCTTCGAGGCAAGGTATCCGTGGGCGGGTGCCAGCCTCTCTTGGCGGCTGGCAGCTCGTGCAGCCGCAGGATGATATAGTCGTTTGCGGTGACATTGGATACAGCTAGGCGTCCTAGGAAAAGTGGGATAAAATTACTGAGGTAAGCTTATGTTAAACATTGCGGACGTAAGCAGATGGAATTGACTCGCGCACATGGTTTACTTGGAGTAGTAGATTGTTTGGCGGTGAGATTCTGACCGAGCCGGGGGAAAAAGAGTCCGCCGTGGTATCAGCATTGCCGCGGTGGCGGCATCGACGGGAGACGAGCGGCGAGTCCGCCCGCGCGTGTAGACGTGTCGACGAAGGCACGGCCAATCGAGAAGGCAGGCATGCAAGGTATATGCATAGATGCGAGATGCACAGGACTGCAGTCGACAGACCATCGTGGAGACCCGAGAAATGCGTTGATGTGTTGATGTGTTGATGTGTTGGGCACTAGGCCGGAAGTGGAAACCCGCTAAGCAACCATCCGCCCGTTCTATCGCGACGGCCATTTGGCCCAGCGGTCGGCCAGCACAGCTGCTTCGTCCGCCGCCGCTGCCCTCCACGTCTCTCGCTACTGTTTCCCCCGCCAAAATCGGCCGGCGGCCCCTGTTTGCCCGCCAGTAGCCCGCCGTTGCTTCCGTCTCGAAAAGTTCCCCATTCTGCTGCAGACAAAACGTCCCGCCCGCCGTTTCCTCCCGCCGGCGCGCATTCGCCTGCTGGATTTCCGTCCAGATTGTCTGCACGGCCGGCCGGCAAGGGAAATGTGCACCGCTGTCTTCTGCGCGCGCGAGTAACCTTATTTCGATGTCTGCCGTTGCCGCACCTGCGTGTTCTTCAAAGTCGGGCAACACTCCCTTCGTGGTATTTTGCAGCCGGCCCATTTTATATGACTTTTCGTGCTATCAACCGCCCGCCCATATTGACGCTCTACGGTCGCATTTTTGCCTGTCGCACGTCTGGCGGCTCTGACAGCCGCTGGACGAGCTGCTGAAACCGCTGCAGCCGGTGAGTGGTATTGTGAGAGCCGC